CAGAAAATTTCTCAAACCAAGCACGAGGTGCTTGTTTGAGACCATACAACGCTTTCTTGAGTTTACAAACATACCCAGAATCATGTGGAACACCAGGAGGGGGAGCCATATAAACTTCTTCTTGTAGATCTCCATTCAAGAAGGCATTTTTAACATCAAGTTGAGAGATACGCCACTGATGAACCGAAACTACTGTAATAAGAGTACGAATAGTAGCCATTTTTGCAATAGGAGCAAATGTCTCCTCGTAATCCATACCATACTGTTGAGAGTACCATTTTGCAATCAACCTAACTTTGTATCGCTCAACTGATCCATCAGAATTAGTATTTATCTTATACACCCAACGACAACCAACAACACTCTAACCAGGAGGTAGATGAACTAAATCCCAAGTACCAGTCTTATGCAAAGTAGAAAGTTCCTCATCCATAGTTTGCTGCCAAGAGGATCAAGAATTGCCTTTTTATAGGAAGTTGGCTCAGAGAGACAATGAATAGAAGATAAAAAGAGAGTCACAGATGAAGAATAACAAGAATAAGCAAAATTTGGTAACTTTGTAGACTTATAAATGCATATAGATTGATGTAAAGATGGATCCATAGTCTCAGACGGAGATTGAGGGACCATAGGAGAAGAGCGAGCTTCAGGTGTACTAGAGAGTAAAGTGTCAGTACATGCAGAATGATCAGTATTTGAAGTGCTAGGAACTTGAGATTACAAACTATCAGAATCAGTAGAAAAAGGATCTATACGAATAAGATCAGATCTACTCAAACTATGAGTAGTTGATGGAATAGAAAAGAAAGGTATATGCTCAAGAAACACAACACGACGAGACACATAAAGTTTCTGAGTTATTGGATCAAAACAACGATACACCTTTTTACCTTCACCATAACCAAGAAAGATACAAATAACAGATCGAGATAACAACTTGCTGCATTATACATGAGGACGAAGAAGAAACAAAGACAACCAAAAACTCTAAAGAAAGAATAATCAGAGGCATACCCATACAACTTTTCGAAATGAGAAGAACCTGAAATATAAGAAGATGAAATTGTATTAATCAAACCTACAGCAGTAAGAACAGTTTCGCCCTAAAACACACTAGGAACAAAAGTAGATAACAAGAGAGAGCGAGCAGTTTCAACAATATGCCTATATTTTCTTTCAGCAACACCATTTTGCTCAGGAGTATTTGTATACGAAATTTGGTAAATAGTTCCATCTAAGGCAAGCAGTTCACAAAATTTTTTAGAAGTGTATTCCCCAACTAAATCACACCTAAAACATTTGATAACAGCAGAATGTTGAGTTTTGACAAGAGCACGAAATGCTTTGTATATCTCAAAAAATTCAGAAAAATGTTTCATTAAATAAATCCAACAATAACGAGTATGATCATCAATAAAAGAAATATAATAACGAGACTCTCCTTTTGTGGCAACAGGTGAAGGCCCCCATACATCAAAATGAATAAAATCAAATGAGGAGGAAAAAACAAAAATATTTCGATTAAAAGGTAAAGCTGAAAATTTTCCAGTTTACATCCACTACAATCATAAGGTTGCAAATTTCCTAATGCACCTATAGAAGCCAAATATCTCAAACGAGAAGACGAAACATGACTTAGGCGAGAATGTCATAAATAAAAACTAAAAGAAGGACTCAAACGAAAGGAAGACAAATCAACACTAGTAGCAACAACAACAACTGACACTTTTAACTCATCGAAAATATATAGTCCCCCCTTCCTACGGCCTGTCCCAATCAACTTCTGAGATTGTAGATCCTGCACATAACAAGAAGAGGAGGAAAATGTGACTAAATTACCAGTATCACATAACTGACCAACAGAAGCAAGATTTAATGTGAGTTTCAGAATATGATAAATATTAAGGAGAGACAAGTGAGGTGTGATAACAGAACCAACACCTGCTACAGGCATAAGAGTGCTATCAGCAATCATGACAGGAATAGAAGATAAATGAGACATGGAAGCAAAAGATGAAGAATTTAGAAACATATGATGTGAAGCACCAGAATCCAAGACTCACACAGAATGTGACATACCTGAAGAACTATGAGGCAACTGACCTACGAAGCAGACATAGCTTGTGGCTGTAAGAGGGGAAACTTATGAAATTGTTCAGCCAGAGTACCATGATCGGTGAAAGGACCTGATGAAGCTACTGCTGCAGTATTGGACTGTGGTGGTCTATAACCTTGAGGTGGTTTACGAAAATTCGATTATGACTGATTGCCAGGCTTCCAAGCTTGAAACGGCTGCACGGTTCGATTCTGCTGTCTCAACTTATGACATTGAGCCTTCCAATGACCTTTCTCCTTATAGAAACTGCACTCGTCGGGGGCAGTTGTTGCGTGAAATATATTCTGATTATTAGATAGTGACTTAGAAGGCACTATTAACACAGAAGGATTAGAAGTATAAAGAATTCCCTTTTCAAAATAAGACTTAAGACGTATTTTTTCAGGTAATAACTCACTGACAACTGAGTCAATAGAAGAAAGTGGAGAACGATGTAAAATTGAACATCTAAGTCCTTCAAAATCACTGCGAAGTGCCGTTAAAAACTGTACCAACCGTTGCTTCTCTCTATGAACAATATAAGCATTACACGCCTTTAATTCTACCGATTCTGTAAGAGCCAATTGATCCCAAAGATCTGTTATAGCATAATAAAACTCTTGAACTCTCATATTCTTCTGCTGAAGAGCTCATATGTCCTTCTCTAATTGATAGTGTTTTGCAAAATTTGACTGAGTGATAACCTTTGCAGATGATCCCAAACCTCATTTGCTGTCTCATACTTTGTCAACTCTCTACCAATGGTATGCTCAATAGAATTGTTAATCCAAGTAATAATTCTATCATCAGTAAACTTTGTTAATTCCAATTTATAATATATATAATATATAATTGATTGGAATTAATTATCCTACCCAATTAACTATCCAATTGGAATTAATTATCCCCACTCCCATCAAATTAATAATATATCAATTAATAATATCCCCCACCCACACTTACGCATCCCACTTGTAAAAAAATTTCAAAAATTGAAAACATTCTCTAGAGATTACACACAACCGTAGAAACCACCCCCACCCACCCCACCCATCTTTAGAAAATTTTCAAGTCACTGTATGTAATCAAGTCACGAACTTATGTTATATGTGACTAATTGTGACCAAATTTATATTTAATGTGACTAGTTGTGATCATGTTAATCTTCATCGTTTTGGTATGTGATCAAGCCACAACCAATTACAATTAACACATAATTGGTACAACTAATCACATTAAACAAATACTTGGTCATGTATTGTCACCACAAACAAATATGCATACACCGCAGACCAGCACCACAATCCACCACCAGTTACCACCACCATCACCTCAAATGCACCACCATTACCACTTTCAACTCAAATTCACGACATTATTATTGTATTTACTGCCTTATGTTATATATGACTAACTGTAACCAAATTTATATTTAGTGTGACTGCTTGTGAACATGTGAGTCTAATTTGTGACTGTACGTAACTTACAGTCACAATTAACATAGATCTAATCACAGACAATCCTAATGAAGATAGATTTGGTCATAACCGATTTTTCGCTGCCACTACCACTTTGACGCAACCACCACTCCCAATAACGTCAAGAACCAAATGCGCATAACTTCACACATGATCCACCAACAACAGAACCATAACTGCTTACACCGCTATCAAGAGAACCATCGACGAACCACAAATCAGAAAACTGCCCAAGGATAAAAAAATCATTGCCACCAACAGAATTGTGGAAAAAGTTTGTTTCCAGTCTTAACGTTAGAATTGTGTAGCTTTCTTGGATCAAATGTTTATAATTAAGTTTGAATAAGAAGATATTGTGGAATCCTAAACTTTTGGCCTTAACCTGGTGAATTTTGACATAAAGGAATGTCAAGATTCTCAATGAGATAATGACCACCACTGCTATTACCACAATAATCTCAGCACTGTCATCAACCCCACCACTACCTGCACCTCCACCGCAGCACAAATTGCAAAACCATCCCCAAAAATCTATAGATCGAAAATGAAACATTACACCCAAAAGTCATGTGTGATTGTGCCACTGAAGCAGATTAAGCGCATAGTCGCACCACTGCCCATGGACCTATAGTTGTTACAAGCACCACCACAATAGTGATGGCGGCAAAGCCAGACGCCAATGCTCGAAGTAGTAGCAGCGCCTTGTTGTGCCGCAGCGCACAACAAAGCAGAACTACCGCGCGTAGCGACACCGGAAAAGATGGAACATAGAGAGGGCGTGGGTGGTAGAGAGAGAGTGAGAGAGAGAGAGATCAAAATCACCTGAAAATATATGTTTTTTGTTTTTTCTCTTTCTATCTCCTCTAATGGGTCATTCAAATGGATGTTGCTTTTATTGGCCTCCAACTCCATAATATAGATTTTTTTTATATTTTTCTTCTCTTTATTTTTACTCACTTAAGGTAAAATGGACTGTATGATCATGGAGTTTCAGAAAACCATACTGCAAATCAGTGGCTTCAGGATTTTTCGTTTCTGAAATTACTATATTTGTTGCTAACAAACATCATCGATGGAAAACGCTCGATCACATATTCGTTGCTATTTTGAGGGTCGATAATAGTTACTAATGAAAAATCTATTGGTAAAACTATTGTCATTTTCAACGTAAAATTCAAGTTTAAAAATATTTGTCATTATCAACGAATATTCTGTTGCCAGTAATATTTGTTATTAGCATTATAATAATATTTGTTGTTAACAACGGATATTCCATTGGCTAACGATATATATAAAGAGAATGGTTTGTATATTCTTCTTCTTTTTTCATTTTTATTTTTTTTAATTTGAGTAGGCCTTGAATTGTAAAATAGTTGTGGTGTATTTATATTTTAATTGGTGCGAGCTAAAAAAATGCTTGGGTGTAGCCAGATATAAAAGTGGTGGAGAATAATGTTATTTGTACAATAATTGTTGACAATTCATATATTGTCAAAATCTGTTTGATTGATTTAAAAATATAATTTTTAAAATGAATGGTGTAGATTTTGTCAACTCTTGTCAATCATAGTTGTACATATAGCATGATTGGTGATGGAAATATAGTCGCCCTTTTTGACTTTCGAAACAAACACGCAATTTCCATGCATTTGCTCACAAGTATCCTTCGGTCCCCTTTCTTGTCCATATTCAAAGACTTTAGATATGAAAAGACCCAACTATATTCCTAAGATCTTCATTTCCCAAATAACACATCCAAAAGCTTTAAACGACAATCTTTTAGAATCGGGATGTTGGAAGTCTACGACAAATAGGAAAGGCTTATTAGAGTCACGCTACAAAGAGAGGAATTTCGTGAAATTGCTCGTGCCCACTCGAGAAGTCCTAGCACCACCTCTTCTTCCTCAGGTTTTACTTTGAGTTCTCCTATTCATGATCGAGGTGAATTTCTTGTACTTTCTAGTGATAATAAATCAATTTTGGGTTGCATGTTTTCTTTTGAGACGATTTTAGTAGGTTAAAATGATCTATCCGTCGTAATTGATGATCATGTCATACTCTATTTTTCACCTTGGAAACGATGAAGACTAACCATCAATATTTGAAAGTGAAAGGGCGGCTATATTGACTTTCCATCAATATCCGTCGTAAATGAAAAATATAATGCAAAGTGAAAGAAAGCAAGACTCTTCATTTCAAGTTCTAAAATTGACATTTTTTTTTCTGAAGTTGGTTTTTTGGTCAAATATGGCTTATTTTTAAATTGTGTTGAAATAAAAAAAAAAAAGACATTGACAGGCCTAGCCCGCACTGTCCAGCAATATTAATAAAGGATGAGCCGCATCCTTAACGGCCCACACCTGTCCTGCCCCTGAGCCTTGGTGAATGAGGTAAATCGTAGGTTATGCCTTCAAGGGTAAAGGGGGAAAACTGTTTGTACACTTGTACTTATCCAATGGCCAAATCCATATTTCAGAATTCGAAACCCTTGATGCAGCAGTCTCAAACAAAGTTGGAGTTTTTCCACCTTCTACTTTTACCACATGGAGATGTGCCCTGGGGGCAAGAAATATAATATNCATTGGAGATGAATAACATTACTCTTTTAATGAATTTAGAGACTCATTCTCTATAATTAGATGCATTCAAAGTGTTTCAATTTTTAATGTAGGAAAACAATAAAATAACATAAAGAAAAGTTAGTTAAAATAAAAGATAAAGAAAAATAATAAATATTTTTTGGGAGTAGTAAAATCAAGTGTTAAATATAAAGAATTTGTTGGAATACTTCAAAATTTTAACTCTTTAAATTTATAGATGTTTTTCAAATGATAGAATATACTCTTTAAAAATAGTCTTTTGGAGATGCTCTAAGAAGATAAAATGTTGTTTGTGTTTAAACCTAACATTGCATAAAAAATATATTTGTTATTGGGTTGTCTTCTTACTTCACCAAAAAGAAAAGTGTCTCGACCGACCTAATATTGTATTTGACTTATTACATACATATAGATAGAGCTTTTCAGGCATCCATTATCAGCAAGCTGCTTGGTGAAGTCATTGACCTAAAATGCCATTTCTTGAGACAATTGTCTGGCAAACTGCATAAATGGGCATATCTAGGATCATTTTCTTGAATCTTGATATATAACTGAAGATTCCCAAGGAACTTGAATTATTCCTTTTTGTGAAGGATGATTTTATGATAGAATAATGATATTCATCTAGAGGGTCTAGATGATCTCTGGTCCGTGATAACTGTCACATTGTCCAACGTCTAAAAATACATTCAAAATTTATTGGATAATGTGGCAATGAGCCACTATCACATACCGATGATCACCTAGAATCTAGATAAATAGCATTGCTCTTTCTGATACCGTTTTATATTGAAATATCAATTCTCTTCATTTAGATGTTTCGAGTTCTGGTGGTGAGAGCAGAACTAATGCACTTCGAGCCATCTATGGTAGTTCCAGCAATTCAACGTGCAGAGGAGAATCTGGAAGTACTATATTCACCATGGAAGAAATTTGTGAGGCTACAAAAAACTTTTCTCGTAGCTTTAGAATTGGACAAGGTGGTTCCGCAACAGTCTACAAGGGTCGACTCAAAGATGGAACTTTGGTTGCTGTTAAACGTAACAAGGTTGGAGGCTAACACAGTTACAGTCATATTATTGCTATTTTTTGTTTTAAAGTTCTTTTTTTGTAGAATGACAGGTTACAATACTTACTAAAAGAATTTCGAAGTGAGATCCAAACCTTAGCACTGGTGGAACATCTAAATATTGTAAAATTTTATGGGTATTTGGAGCATGAAGATGAAAGGATTCTTGTTGTCGAGCACGTTCCAAATGGAACCCTTAGAGAACACTTGGACTGTGAGTTCTTTCTCACCTTACTGTACAATTAGCCGTCATTTTCTATGATTTCATTTTACATCTTGAATTCATGATCATGCGATAGTTTCATTTTGCATAATTTAGTGCTTATTAAAGATAATGGAAGATTTCGGTAATACACTCTGTCCATTTGCAACATTTATTGTGTCATTCTCTTTGTAATTCCTAGACAGAAAAATAGAAATTCTCTCATTCGTTTCAGTATTGTTTTTTTCTCAAATATATTCTGATCTATATTTTCTAACAGTGGTAACATGTGATTTACTGATCTAGGTGTGCACGGTAATGTTCTTGATTTTGCTGTGAGGTTAGATATAGCAATAAACGTGGCACACGCGGTTACCTACCTCCACATGTACACAGGTATAAATTTGGTAGCAGCCACGTTAATTAGGTTCTTAGGAAATTTAGCTTCAGTACTTGAGTTGCTCTGTACGCAGATCATCCTATCATCCATAGAGATATCAAGTCTTCCAACATTCTCCTCACGGAGAATCTACGAGCGAAAGTAGCCGACTTTGGTTTTGCTCGGCTAGCAGCTGACTGTGAATCGGGAGAGGCACATGTTTCGACCCAACTTAAAGGAACTGCTGGCTATTTAGACCCAGAATACATAAAAACCTACCAGTTTACAGAAAAGAGTGATGTTTAATCATTTGGTGTATTACTGGTGGAACTAGTCACAGGCAGGCGTCCAATCGAAACAAAACGGGATCTGAAGGAACGCATTACTGCTAGATGGGTATGTCCCTCTCTCTAATGAGCAAAATTGCAGTGAATGATGTCAAAATTGTTGTCAAAAGAATTCTTATTTTTATTAATACGTCCACAATTTTCATATATAAATAGTGGCGAGAACTTAAGACATCTACTTGCTCTAGGACACACTTGTTTGTTTAGATTTAATCTTCAACTTCCAATTGGATGATTTCTTGAACAAGGACATTATTTTTTTTTTTTTTGTGCCTCGACTAATTTTAGAGGTGCCACAAGAGAATATTGGTTTATATTTTCTCTGGTTGATTTGAATTGATTTAAGTGCAGGCTATGAAGAAGTTTTCTGATGGAGATGCAATCTTAACTTTGGATCCGAGGCTACGAAGGTCTCCTGCAATTAACTTTATGATGGAAAAGATTCTTGAAATAGCCTTTCAATGTTTGGCTCCTCATCGACGTAACAGGCCTACCATGAAGAAGTGTGCGAAGATTCTTTGGAGCATTCGCAAGGATTACAAGGAATTCTCAACTTCAGATATCCCTTCGCTCATGTCACACGTTTTCTATAATGTGAATTATGCCGCACGTGTACGGTGTCAAGTTTTGTAATATAATAATAGAGTTAAGAGTGTTGAACCCACAGATATTGTAATTTAATTTTGTACTAAGTACTCTAATTATGTAACATTTATTTTATCTAAACGAATGAGTTATGAATCGATATTGTATAACTACTCTAACGATAATTTTGATGACGAATTCAATGAATACAAATTATATGAATTTAATCAAAATGGAAAAGTCTAGGGAATGATTTCAACTAACTATCAAATATGATCTAAAAAACTTAGTTATCTCTAATCAATTTTTCATGTTTATAAACAAGAACCCTAATGTAATTCTACCACCTCTCTCGAGTGTAGGATATAAATTAATTCTAGAAATTAATTTCAATATCTCAATTTTGAATTAAGATTTAGAAATTATAAAGTTCATGATTCTTTTATGGAGTAAATTTCATATAGCATATATTTTCTCTCGAAACCTATAAAAACTATGTTGTGTTAATCTTATTATTGCGCCTAAATTTCTCTCTCTCGAGTGCTGAAACTGACAAGCATCTACTTATTCAATTAGTGGCCAATTAATTGAAAGCATTAAAATTATAACNGCCCTCCCAATAGTGGTCTTTAGGGTTGTATTTTTTTTCTCATGAAATCTTGGACGGGTTGGAGTTGTATTGGGCCAAGAAAAGAATCCAAAAAATTCAAAAACCTATTTCTCGCATGATGGCGCCTCGGCGCCCGTGATTCTATTTTTTTTAGTAATGTGGGTGTTGCGGCGCCCAAAACTCGGCGCTGCGGTGCACCATTTTCGGGTGGAAAAACTGCACTGCGCGTCTTTCATTTTTATCATAACATTTTTTTTTCGATATCCGATTGAGGCGATTAAAGATGTGTTGGAAAGATAACTCAAATGGCTACAACTTTATTTCAGATATCATTTTCCAATTTGAACGTTTGATATGTCAAAAATGAGTCTCAATATGAGATTGAAAATCTGAAGCATAACTTTTTTGGTTGAAAATTGATGTGTGATCATACTTTGCATATATTTCATCCATTTGATTTCTTTTTTCATCCAATTGACTCCAAGCACTCTCAAATCTTCATTTTAAGGTCCAACAAAACTTTTGAGTATTTTCACTTTAATCCCCGAACTTTGAATTTCTGACAATTTAGTATGTTTCTCAAATTTGCCAACTTTTTCTTATTTCCTTCAATTCCATCAATCTATATCACAACATTAAAATACACATTAAAACTGCCTAAAACTTTCTCAAGGATAAGAAAATAACGAATTAAGGGTGTGTTTGATGAATATTATTGAGAAAATAATGTATTTTAAAAAGTGATATGATGAGAAATATGTAGTTAAAAACTAAGGAAGAGTTATTGATGTGATGGAAAATATTATTTTATTGAAAAATGTGTGGTTGAAAATGAGTTTTGAAAGAATGTGTTTTGAAAGATTGTTTACCAAATAAGGACTAAGTAACATAAATATCATGAGTGTAGAACAATCATCAAATACCTACAAACTTAGTATTTTGCTTGTTCTCGAGTAAACATAAAACTCTAGAAAATAACTAACGGACCTTCAAATGAAAACTAAATAAAACAAAATCATTTAAAAGAAATTCCGCTAGATATCTTGTCTTCATAGCGCAGGATTGAAAACATAACATCAATTTCATGAATCACTTCAAAGTTATAATGTCCAAACTAAATTCTCACACATTGAATGCAAAATGGGCGTGTGTGTATGTGGAGAGTTAAGTGCAATGCTGTACAATAATAAGTTGATCCAATTCCCGACCTTAAAAGTCAAATATTTCATTACTTCTCCCATGAGATTCATACACCCCAACACTTGTTTTATTTTTACTTCTCAAGGTGTATTCTAAAGTTAATTTTCAATACTGAATTCTTACACCACTCAAATTTGATTCATTTTAACCGACAGGGTCAACAATTCAAGTCATTCGATAATTCTCTCAATTTATGAGTGTTTCGACAATCAAACTTATACTAAGTAATTCAAACCCACTAGATATCTAAGTTCTCAACATTTTATCATAATTGCACAATTTTTTTCGCTTGTTTTGATATTGTCTTTTTTTTTTTCAGCTCAAGATTAACTTCACCATTTCTTTCTCTTCTTGATCCTTGTAGCGAGCTTTTAGTCGGTAATTCCCTATTTTGAAATATCAAAGGGTACCAAGTCTAAAGAAACCCCTAAGGACTTACTAGCTCGAGTGAAAAAGGTGCAGGTGTGAAGCAATGAGTTAACAAGTGCAATGCTCTTTCTGTAAAGGAAAGCAAAAATGATCAAATGGCTAGATTCCTAACATACGGTCATCACTTAGTTCATACTTGAAAGTTGAAGACACTCCACATAATATTTTTTTCAGCATGCGTGGAATTACCACAATCCTAAATCATATCATTTATCAGCTTGAACGCCCCAAATTATATTATACAAGGTTAAGGATATAGTGAATATTCGATTTTGGGATTGATCATCTAAGTTCTCTATTTCAACCTATAAACATGAATCAACCTACTCATGTACAATACCACAATCAACTTACGTGCATAAATACTTTAAGTTCTGCATGAATAATAAAAAAAATTAACTAAAACACATAATATATTCATAATCTATAAACTAATACATGTCCTCAATAATATATCATTGCCGACAAGGCTATCTAACTCACATAACATGCAAAACAAGTAAATTCTCTTCTTTTTTTCCTTAAAAAAACACGCACACAAATCATACAAAATAAAAATATTAGGCAAGTAGACAACTTATAATACAACTCCCAAACTTAAATTGAACATTGGCCCCAATGTAAAATTAAAGAAAAGTGAGGAAGACTTCCCTGAATTATCTGCATTGCCTATGACGTTTTGGTGCTTATGATACTGGATTTGATGGATGTTTCTTCTATCTTCTCCCACAAACTTGAGATCTATCATGTTTTATCCTTGTCAGTGTTGGTTTGAGTGTTTCGCGACGTCATGTTCTTGAAAAATCAAATTTTAGATATTAAATACATAGAACATGGGTTGCCTAGCTCAAACATCTAATAACCAACTTGATTACTCAAAAACCTAAGTGGAGATGGGCTATGGCTAATGAATTCCTAAATAAACTCTTAAATAACTATCTTATAATTCAAAAACAAAATAAATAAAAATGAAATCTTGGGTTGCTTCCCAAGAAGCACTTCTTTAACGTCATTAGCTTGACATAACCGAGGTGTGTACGTTGGATCTTCAGGTGGCACTTCTCTCTTCTTTCTAAACTTTACCCTTGGTATTGTATTTTTCTTCACTGTAGCATGACCAATAGAATTGGATGGTTTTAAATTCGGTGTAGCTTTCAAAACTTCCTTGGGTTTGACAATGTTTGGTGGTTTCAAATGTTTTTCCGCATAGATCTCCTTTTTTTTCAGGTGGAGAAGTTTCATGCTCCAAGGCATAATCTACCATTTCATTTGTCCCTTTTTCCATTTACAAATGTATCAGACCTTGAATAGTAGAGAGCCATATGTTGTTCTAGAGGGTCATGAAACACTTCTTTCTTGCATTTTTCGTCCATCTCTACATTGGATCATGTGGCATGCATTGACTTTTTCTGGGGCTTTCTTTTCTTGATGGAGGGTGAAGTTCACTTGCTCTTCATTAACTCACAGTGTCAACTTCCCTTCTTGTACATCAATCAACACTCTTTCAGTAGCCAAGAAAGGTATACCATAGCCAAGAAAGGTGTACCAAGAATCAATGGCACTTTCTCATCCTCCTCCATGTACAACACGACAAAGTCCACCGGAAAGATGAACTTATCGACCTTTACTAATACATCTTCAATAATGCCCTTGGGGTATGTAATTGATCCGTCTACCAGTTACAATGTAAGGGTTGTGGGCTTCACCTCTTTAAGACCCAACTTTTTGAACAATGATAGGGGCATCAAGTTAATGCTAGCTCCAAGGTCACCCAATACTTTATCAAATGTGATATCACCAATATTGCAAGGAATGTTGAAGCTGCGTGGATCTTTCAATTTCTGAGGAAGCTTCTTCTGAAGAATGACGCTACACTCTTCTGTTATCTTAACTGTCTCAAACTTCTCCAACTTTATCTTCTTTGACATCACTTCCTAAGAACTTCGCATAGTTAGACATTTGGGCCAAAGCATCTACAAAAGGAATGTTGATGTAGATTTTCTTGAAGACTTCCAGGAACCTTGCGAACTGCTCATCAATTTTCTTCTTCATGAATCTCTATGGGAATGGTAACTAGAGTTTCAAGATAGGTGGGTTGTTTGGAAATAAGATCAATTAATCTCTTTTGTTGCTTCTACTTCGATATTCTGCTCTTCAATCTCTTCCTCCTCTGCAAGTATGGGATCCGGTGTAAGCCCCACAACCTCTTTAGTCTTACTTTCTTCAACTTCTTTACCACTCCTTAATGTGATGGCATTGCAGTGCTCCCTTAGGTTAACCTCCGTGTCACTGGAAAATTTTCCTTTCTGTTGGGACTGTATTACAGTTGTTATCTTACCAATTTACACCTCTAAGTTCTTCAATGTGGCTCCCAAGTTGGTCATATGAGTCTAGATGTTGTCAAGTCTTGATTCATCTTTGTTGAACCTCAATCTAGTCTCTGAACTGAAGGTTCCCAAAATATCCTCCAGTAATGGCTTTCCTTCAGAAGAAGCCAACCCAGATGGTGGTAGAAACACTTTCGCATTGTTACCATAAGAGAAATTCTCATGGTTTCGCAGTCCTGGATGGTACTGGTTTGTTGAGTAGTTTCCTCTTCGATTGAAGTTTCTGCCATTCACATACTGGACTTGCTCCTTCTCAAACTCAGACTCATGGTATGAAGTGGAAGCAGCCATGATGGAATCTGCTTTCTCCTGAGTTCCATGATAATGCAGCTATTTTAGTAGTGAGAGATGACACATGTAATGCCCTGAATATTTTCATAGAATATAATTTAATGTTTGTATGCTATATTTTAATGTTTGAA